AGAGTGTGTGAGTGTGTGTGTGTGTGAGAGTGTGTGTGTGTGTGTGTGTGTGTGTGTGTGTGTGTGTGTATTCATGAGTGTTTGCTCTGAGCTTGAGATCCAGCATCAGTACTGAACATCAATGTCACGGCGCCATCTAAAGGTCAAACCTATGAACTACAGCACAGCAATGAAAAACAATGCTGATTGTGCACAATAAGATACAGGACATTTCATCAAGTAAATGGGCTCAACTTTAATTTCATGTCTTTAACTTGAACTCAGGATGCATTTACTCGCAGATATATATATATATACATATCTATATAGACATTAATGTATATTATACTATATATAATAGACCAATTTCAGTGTTTGCAAACAGCGATAACATTTTTGTGGGCGGAGCCTATCTGGTGGCAGAAAATGTCAGTTTTAACATAGCAGTCTATTCAAGCCATGGAATAAAAGAATAAAAAAGGTAATTTTGAGTTTATATTTCAAAATTCTGACTTTTTTCTTTAAATTCCAAGATTATATCTCACAATTCTGGTAAGAAAAATCAACTCCTCATTCTCTCTTTTTCCCTCGGCTCAGAATCATGAGTTTATAATCCAACACTTCTGGCTTTTTCTCCTCAGAATTGACAAACTCACAATTGTTGAGTTGAATCAAGTTATAAAGTTCGAACTAGGAGAAAAAAGTCAGAATTGTGAGATAAAATAGGTAAATGTTATGTAAAATGTTCTAGGATTAAATAGTATTTCATGCTTTAACTGTAGGGCTAATACATATATGTGTCCCTGCAGCACAAAAGCAGTGTTAAATCGCTGGGGTATATTTGTAGCAATAGCCAACAATACATTGTATGGGTCAAAATTATACATTTTTCTTTTATGCCAAAAATCATTAGGATATTAAGTAAAGATCATGTTCCATGAAGATATTTAGTACATTTCCTACCGTAAATATATCAAAACTTAATTTTTGATTAGTAATATGCATTGCTAAGAACTTAATTTGGACAACTTTAAAGATGATTTTCTCAATATTTGGATTTTTTTGCTCCCTCAGATTCCAGATTTTCAAATAGTTGTATCTCAGCCAAATATTGTCCTATCCTAACAAACCATACATCAATGGAAAGATTATTTATTCAGCTTTCAGATGATGCATAAATCGCAATTTCAAAAAATTGACCCTCATAGGGTCACATATGTCCCCTATGTGAATGTTATATAGACCTATTGTTTAACTCAAATTTATGCTTTAAAAGTAGGGTAATCATAGCAGGTTTCATTCATAGTTTGTCCATTTAAACGTCTGCGTTTAGCTTCAAATGGCGTCTTTGACCACAGTATTACATAAAAATTATTTGCATTCTGATTCTGACATCCAAAAGCACAACAACTCATATCGTTAGATATCGTCTCATCAGCCAGTGCTAAAGCTGGCACTCAGGATCAGTCAGGCTTTCTGTGAAGCTGCTCTGAAAGCGTGTGCAGTGTGCAAAGCTCCACACAAATAAATCTGACTACATGTTGAAGTCAAACGAGCTCTGTGGTTTCTCACCTCTCAGCAGGTCTGAAAGCAGCGGGCCGCACTCCTCAGGAACAGTGTAGTCGCCCTTCCCAATGTTCTCGAATAGCTTATAGATGTTGTCCCCTTCAAACGGGTACAGGCTCGTGGTTATGTTGTATCTGTGAGGAGAGACACACAGCTCTCAGCTTAAAGCCCAGCAGAAAACACAGTCAGAGGAAGCAAGTGATCGATATAGCGCACGATATAGGCACGTGCTATGAGTGACGCAGACAAACCAAGCCATTCACACAGAGCGCATATTCAGCGCATTTTCTAAACGGACAAATATGACTGCTGCGTGTCTCACAGAAGAGATGTATAGAAAGCCATGCCATGTTAAAACAGTTTAAACTTTTAGAAAAAACGTCGCGAATTTGTAGAGGTTTATTCTTTTTCACTGCGTCTCATATGTTTTTAAATGCAGTCTGTGTGATCGGCGCTTCGGTTCTTTGTATTAAGCAATGCATCAATACATGATGCTGTTTTGTTCATAATTGTGTATGCAATTTACGAAGTTATATTAGATTTTTGAGTTAATTTAGACGTAATGCGTTGACAACTTAATGTGCTGCATTATTTTGCTCATTGCGCCCTCCTGAAGCCAAACGTTTCCTTAAGACCTATTTAATCTGCATATAAAACGTTAGAAATTAGATGTTTAATTTTTAGTTTGATTGTTAAAACAAAATATATTTGTTGTTTGTCTCAAAAAATTAGTTTAATTTAAAAATACAGTGGTTAAAAAAAAAAAAAAAAATTAAGTTGCTCTGTTTTAAAAAAGGTTATAAAAATGTCAATAATTATCGATACCGAACGATATGAAACATTATATCGTTGATAATTTTTTTTGCTATATCGCCCAGCCCTACGTTGAAGACAGACGTGTTGTGATCTAAAAGCTTGTTAATCGATCTTATCTGCTTTGGTTGAACCCATCTGTTCACTTTAATTCAACTTACACTACACCAGTCAAAGGTTTCTGTTTCTTAATGTGTTTTAAAGAAGTCTCTTCTGTTCACCAAGCCTGCATTTATTTGATCAGAAATACAGCAAAAGCAGTAAAATTGTGAAATATTATTACAATGTAAAACAGCTGTTTTCTATGTGAATATGTGTTAAACTGTAATTTATTTCTGTGATGTGCAGCTGTATTTTCAGCATCATTACTCCAGTCTTCAGTGTCACATGATCTTCAGAAATCATAATAATATGCTGATTTGCTGCTCGAGAAACATTTCTGATTATCATCAATGTTGAAAACAGCAGAGTATAATTTTTTCAGGTTTCTTTGATGACTAGAAAGTTCAGAAGATCAGCATTTATCTGAAATAGATGACTATAGATATAATACTTGTGCATCACTTTAATTCAGATTTTTCAGTGAAATAATAAAGTTGTTCCGAGAGGTTAATCACAATGGACAACATAGATTGGAGAATACATTTTTCTATTGTGAATTTATTCAGAAGTTTTGGTCTAATTTAACACCGTCTATGGCTGATTTAACAGATATTATTTGTTAGTGTACTAATACCCTTAATTTCTTTCCTTTGTTTGGTAAACAGAATGTTTGGGCTCACGTCTTACGCTCACATTTTTTTGACTGAGGTAGACTCACTTCTCAAATCTTTTTCTAGAATTAGAAAAAAAAAAAAAAAAAGACAAATAATAAAAAATAACAATTCTTCTTAAAAGAATATGAGAAATTAATTGGAGATTCTACTGATGAAGTTTAGTCTGCTTGTCAATGTTTTGGGTTTATTTATTAATTTATCACTATTGTTCTGTACTGATTTTATTTCTTATTTAAAAAATGATCTTGTTTTAGCCTCGTAAAGTGTTACGTAGATGCTCATCAATGTCTGAAGATGTTTGTATAATTTCATATCCGTTCTTCTAATAATAATAATAATAATAAATTAATTATTTCCCTCATTAAAGCTGTTAAGTTCGCAGTCTTGCATCTTTGTCTTTTTGTCGAATTTTCAAACTCTTTTTTTCCCTTCAACTCATTAATTCAAAGTTTGTGATGTGACTCTCCTCGCAGCTGATGGTTTCTTCATGACTCGTAACTCTAAGGGCTTTCTGAAGGCCTGAGCCAGAGCTGTTCTGACAGTGACTGAAGGAACTCACAGTGTGACTCCAGCAGACCAGATGTCCACCTTGAACCCTGAAAACGTGTCCAGGCCGTTGGCGATCTCTGGAGGCTGGAACGCTGGCGACCCCTGACTCGTCCGACACGTGTCGTCCTCCGCAAACGGGTGGAGCGCCTGGGGGTCAAAGGTCAGAGATCAAGCGGTATACCCCAGCGACTTAACACTGCTTTTGTGCTCCAGGGTCACATATCAGGATTTACGGGGTTAATCACTTAAATGAGCTCAGAGTGCTGATTAAACACAGACGGCCGTCTCACCTCCGCTACACCCAAGTCTGAGATCTTCAGCGCCCCGTCTGTAGTGAGCAGCAAATTCCCTGGTTTAATATCTTTGTGTACAATTCCCTGGCTGTGCAAGTATTCAAGACCATCCAGAAGCTGGCAAAAGTACCTGAGAGAGACATGGGAAGAACAACGGAGACACAAACGTGTGATTGATGTGTGAAAGACCAGCTGAAGCTCAGCAACTCTGAAAAACACTTGCCAGTAATGCATCCCGATGTAACGCTCTCAAACTCTGAGGATTAAGAATGTACCTGTTTCTTTAGACTCAAACCTGTCAGTGATTTCAGTTCTTAAACATGTTAAGGGTCTGAAAAACAAACTGCAGGTCTAATTCGTAAGCTCAGTTAAAACAGACTCCATCTACATCAAGATGCCAAACACAAATCTACACACATATTATATCTGTGAGAAATAAAAACCAATGTCAAAAGGCTAAAAATAGACATGATGGAAATTTTACAACCCATCAGAGCGGCTGATAGTGACGCACAGAGGCTCAGGGGTTAGTCACTAGTTTTCAGTGACGAGTGTGTGTGTGTGAGTGAGTGTGAGTGAGAGAGTGAGAGAGTGTGTGCGTGTGAGTGTGTGAGAGAGTGTGTGTGTGTGTGTGTGTGTGAGTGAGTGTGAGTGAGTGAGTGAGAGAGTGTGTGCGTGTGAGTGTGTGAGAGAGTGTGTGTGTGTGTGTGTGTGTGAGTGAGTGTGAGCGTGCATGTGAGTGTTTGTGAGCGTGTGTGTGTGTGAGAGTGTGTTTGTGTGTGTGTGTGTGAGTGAGTGAGTGTGAGCGTGTATGTGAGTGTGCGAGTGAGTGAGTGTGAGAGTGTGTGTGTGTGTGAATGTGTGTGAATGTGTGTGAATGTGTGTGAATGTGTGTGAATGTGTGTGAATGTGTGTGAATGTGTGTGAATGTGTGTGAATGTGTGTGAATGTGTGTGAATGTGTGTGAATGTGTGTGAATGTGTGTGAATGTGTGTGAATGTGTGTGAATGTGTGTGAATGTGTGTGAATGTGTGTGAATGTGTGTGAATGTGTGTGAATGTGTGTGAATGTGTGTGAATGTGTGTGAATGTGTGTGAATGTGTGTGAATGTGTGTGAATGTGTGTGAATGTGTGTGAATGTGTGTGAATGTGTGTGAATGTGTGTGAATGTGTGTGAATGTGTGTGAATGTGTGTGAATGTGTGTGAATGTGTGTGAATGTGTGTGAATGTGTGTGAATGTGTGTGAATGTGTGTGAATGTGTGTGAATGTGTGTGAATGTGTGTGAATGTGTGTGAATGTGTGTGAATGTGTGTGAATGTGTGTGAATGTGTGTGAATGTGTGTGAATGTGTGTGAATGTGTGTGAATGTGTGTGAATGTGTGTGAATGTGTGTGAATGTGTGTGAATGTGTGTGAATGTGTGTGAATGTGTGTGAATGTGTGTGAATGTGTGTGAATGTGTGTGAATGTGTGTGAATGTGTGTGAATGTGTGTGAATGTGTGTGAATGTGTGTGAATGTGTGTGAATGTGTGTGAATGTGTGTGAATGTGTGTGAATGTGTGTGAATGTGTGTGAATGTGTGTGAATGTGTGTGAATGTGTGTGAATGTGTGTGAATGTGTGTGAATGTGTGTGAATGTGTGTGAATGTGTGTGAATGTGTGTGAATGTGTGTGAATGTGTGTGAATGTGTGTGAATGTGTGTGAATGTGTGTGAATGTGTGTGAATGTGTGTGAATGTGTGTGAATGTGTGTGAATGTGTGTGAATGTGTGTGAATGTGTGTGAATGTGTGTGAATGTGTGTGAATGTGTGTGAATGTGTGTGAATGTGTGTGAATGTGTGTGAATGTGTGTGAATGTGTGTGAATGTGTGTGAATGTGTGTGAATGTGTGTGAATGTGTGTGAATGTGTGTGAATGTGTGTGAATGTGTGTGAATGTGTGTGAATGTGTGTGAATGTGTGTGAATGTGTGTGAATGTGTGTGAATGTGTGTGAATGTGTGTGAATGTGTGTGAATGTGTGTGAATGTGTGTGAATGTGTGTGAATGTGTGTGAATGTGTGTGAATGTGTGTGAATGTGTGTGAATGTGTGTGAATGTGTGTGAATGTGTGTGAATGTGTGTGAATGTGTGTGAATGTGTGTGAATGTGTGTGAATGTGTGTGAATGTGTGTGAATGTGTGTGAATGTGTGTGAATGTGTGTGAATGTGTGTGAATGTGTGTGAATGTGTGTGAATGTGTGTGAATGTGTGTGAATGTGTGTGAATGTGTGTGAATGTGTGTGAATGTGTGTGAATGTGTGTGAATGTGTGTGAATGTGTGTGAATGTGTGTGAATGTGTGTGAATGTGTGTGAATGTGTGTGAATGTGTGTGAATGTGTGTGAATGTGTGTGTGTGTGAGAGAGTGTGTGTGAGTGTGTTTGCGTGTGTTTGTGTGTGTGTGTTTATCTGATGTCTGGTGTTTGCGTGTCTCACCCGTGAGCTTGAAATACAGGAAATCTCTTCTCTGTAACGCTGTCCAACATTTCCTGCATTCCACAGACACAGTACTCCATCACCATATACGTGAAGCAGCGGTCAAGGAGCGAACACACGAGCAACAGCCAATCACTCAGTGACCTTACACAACACAGGTTTATCATCGCCAAATAAAACTATTAAAAAAATGAATGAAGCTGAAATACAATAAAATGTAAATTAGATTAGATTAGATTAGAAACTAAAATAAAATAAAATTGTTGCCTTAATCCTCAATGGATGCTCTGCAGTGAATGGGTGCCGTCAGAATGAGAGTCCAAACAGCTGATAAAAACATCACAATAATCCACAAGTAATCCACAGCACTCCAGTCCATCAGTTAACATCTGGAGAAGACAAAAGCTGAAACAAATCCAGCATTAAGACGTTTTTAACTCAAATACCATAGAGTCCATAATCCATAACTCTTCCTCCAGTGAAAAGGTGCATCTGCTGTTGTCTCTCACTATCTGATGGACTGGAGTGCTGTGGATTACTTGTGGATTATTGTGGATTATTATTGAAACAAACTCATCCTGATCTGGGATGGCCTGAGGATGAGCACGTTTACAGCACATTTTAATGTTTGGCTGAACTATTGGTTTAAGACAGTGAGTGCAAAGCAGAGGCTGAATGCTGAGCTGACAGAACCGCATTTCTGCACCACACATGCATCCATGTGCATTCACACACACACATACACACACACACACGCGCGCGCACACTCTCACGCGCGCACACTCTCACGCGCGCACACTCTCACGCGCACACACACTCTCACGCGCACACACACTCTCACGCGCACACACACTCTCACGCGCACACACACTCTCACGCACACTCTCACACTCTCACGCACACTCTCACACTCTCACGCATACTCTCACACACTCAAAAACACTCTCTCACACACTCAAACACACTCTCTCTCACACTCACACTAGGGCTGTGCGAGTGTGAGAGAATTTTGATTTCAAATCCAAACGTTGTTTCTGAAAATGCTTTTTCAGTATTTCAACGCGCAGAAGATCAACGAGGCGCACGATCACATCGCGAAAGCCGAGAAATGGTGAGTGATTCTCTTTTAACACAGTCCAAAAAGCCATGTGTTAACTGTGAAACAGTAGACTTTAATTATATGCATTTATGGTGTAATTACTAAATTTCCGTGTCAATCCATGTTCTACCGCGAATAATGCTCTGTCACTTTAATTCAGCTCGTCCAGCACAGCAGAAATAGACTCCGCGCGGAAACGATCGCAGCATGACTGCTGCAGACGCACTGCTCCTGGAGCGCACTGCCGGACCGCAATCACATGCAGTGTGAACGCTCTGATCCGTTAACATGGGCGCGGACAAAATACGCACCACAGATGGAGTGTGTGAACCTGGCGTTACGTTTGTATGCCCGCACGTCTGTTCTGTTCTCGTGCTCCATTTAGGCGCGCTGCATTCCACTCAGACACACTCACACACACTCACACACACTCACACACTCTCAGACACTCTCAGACACACTCAGACACACTCAGACACTCTGTGTAAAAGGATATATTTTCTGCTTCTCTTCGTTGTACAGCACATCCACCAGCTGGATGATGTTTTTGTGCTGTAATCGTCTCAGCAGCTGAATCTCCCTGCAGAACAACAGAAGACACACACATCTATTAAACACACAAACCTTCCATCAATGAACGCATCCTAAAAACACTGACAGATCATTCAACATGCATCACTGATCCAGGCCTAAACATATTTATGGGATGAAAATACTAAAGGCCTAACTGATCACCGCCTGTCAACACACTAAACCAGTTGGTTTGTAAAGTAATGTAAGGTTTTAGGAGGTTGTGCTACAACAGACTGACACAAACATTTGCATAGTGAACATTCAAGAGAAATCATGAAATTATTCAAATAAACATGATGAAAAGCGTGAGAGAGCAGTGCAGTAATCAGCAGAGCTCTGAGAACAGAGACGGGCCGTGTTTCCACTCGACTAAAATAGCTGCAGGCTGATGCAAACACACACTAGTGCACATGCATGAGTTATCTGACCCAGTGTTTCCTAACCTTTTTTTAGTCGCGGCACCCTTTGGAAATTTTAACAAACTTGTGGCACCCTACAAAATAAATTTAATTAAATAAATTGCTTTTTAGTTTTTCAGGTAGGTCTAACAGTAGGGTTAAGATATTTAACTTTTTTTTTTTACCAATTATCCAAATAATGGTTAGTCCTAGAAAGCTATTATTATCAGAAAACGCGAGCATAACATAGCGGTTAGTAGGTCACACACACACACATACACACACACACACACACACACACAAACACGTCTGAGATCAATGTGTGTGTTCAGCAGTGAACAAATTTGGTGTAGGATTTTTGCAGAAATTGCCAGTTTAATTCACAAATCATTACATAGAAACAGCAAATAGCACTGAATTACACATTACATTTTGAATAAGACAGACTGAAATAGTATTTTCTTAATTATTAAATGTAATCCGTTTTATTTACAACTTCAAAAAAAAATTTTTTTACAGTCTCTGTAGTATTTGGAAGTGACGACAGAAACGGAGCATGAAAACCATAATTGCTTTGATTTTTCTTCAGTCTTGCAGCATTGAATTTTCAACTAGACTGACTTCTAATCAGGATTATTTAGGGATGCACCGATATGAAAATTTTGGCCGATGGAAATAATGCATTATCGGCTTTAAGATATCGGCCAAATTTTCTTATCGGGCCGATACCGATAACAGAAAAAATGAGCATTTATCGGCCGATACCGATATGGTGGCCGATATATCGTGCATCCCTAGGATTATTATAGTTAGCTAAAACTGAAATTAAAGCCATTATTTGTAATAAAATACATGTTATCTAAAAATAAAATAAAACATTACAAATAAAAAAAATATATATTTGCCAAAGCAGTATTGTTTATTTTAATATAGTTTAACATGATGTACTAAAATAACTCAAACGAAAATTAATAAAACTATATACATATAAAAACGACACAAAATTAATAAAACTTTAACTGAAACTAAACAACAGAAAATGTAAAAATATAAACAAATTCAAAATATTAATAAAAACTATAACAGTGTCTGAATTATACTAAAATATCACTATTTTTCCTGAGGTGATGATAGTATCATTTCTTTTGACTTGTCCATCAATAAGATCCCATTAGTTAACTTTAGTGTTTGCATTAACTAACATTAACTAACAATGATTACATTACAGTATTTATTAATCCTTGTTAACATTAGTTTAACTCATTGTTAGTTCATATCTAGTCAGGTCCATTAAATAATGTTAAAAGTTACAGCTATTGATTTTAATAATGTAGCCTGTTAGCAAATGTAGAAATAAACGAACTAAAATTAAAAGAGCACAGGACACGAACACACACCGATTGCTTCACCGATACGACAGAATTCATCTAAAACTACAGCTTCATTCTTGTCAAGCTCACTGGATGAGACACAACATTATGATATTATAATGATACCGTTGCAGGCCAAAGATGTAACGTTAACGATTAACTGCAAGCCGGTTGAAAATCGATTGCGTCTGCTGTTTCGGTTTCATGCAGATATTTTTATGTATAGTTTCACAAAACTGTTCTGTTTTTGCTTCATATTTCGCAATTATACAATCTAATTTAGATTATAAACTGCTCGTGTGCCATGTATGCAGCATCTTTGTTTGGATTGTGATTAAAATTTGGGGCTTGTTTTAAAATTTCAATTTAGTTTTGTTGTTTACATTTACATTATATTTAAATGTTGTCATTTAGCAGACACTTTTATCCAAAGCGACTAAAACATGAGGACAATAGAAGCAATCAAAACCAACAAAATAGCAATAATATGCAAGTGCTATATTAGTATATTATTATAGTGTTATATTTCAATTTGACAAAGAAATGTGCAGCATTTTGTCCAAGCAATGATAAAAAGACACATTTAATATATAATTTGTCTTAAATCTCATTTTGTTAAAAAAAAACGTGAATCGAATCGTGAGTTGAGTGAATCGTTACATCCCTACCAAACACTACATGCACGTGTCAGTTTGATCCGTTTTGCTTCCAAAGCATCTCTTCATTCAGAAAACACATTTAACTGCTTATTTTATTGCACTTTATTGCACAGTAGACTGATTATTCAGCTTTTGCAATTAGTTAAAATATTGAGCTATATATATATTCTAACAAATAAAGGTAATCACTTCAGCTTCTGAAAATCATATTATGTAATTACAGTTATTATACAATTAATTTATACAAATAAATATATAATTGGCACACAAAATGAGATGACAGAGAAACTCTCTCATTCACCATTTAATTAGCTAAATGAAAAAGTAACTGAATGACATCTTTCTGCCTGACATCTCCTTTTGTAAGTCATATGGATAAGAAACTAAATAAAGGTAAGTGATGATGAGACGATTTATTTTTGGATTAACTATTTTATTCACAACATAATCTCTCTTAAAATACATTATAACAGTCCTGAGCTAGATCAAGCTTCGATCTCTGCAAACCAAACTTTAACACTAATAAAAAGATGTTATCATTAGCGAGCTCCACACTGCAGAGCTGCTTTATAACAGAAAATCAGGTTGTAATTCTAACTGAAAGCGACACTGACTCTGGTTGTTCATGTTTAATACTGTAAAGCTGCTTGATTTAAGGCTCTCTATAGTGCTATATATAAATAAACGTGAGGTAACTGGACTTTACTGGAGCGCTGAACTGCAGAGCTCGTGCAAACATCCACATCACTGTAATCAGATGCTTTCTTAACTGCTGCTTTCTCACCGCTGTCAGTTTTTGTTGTGTTTATTTTGTTATTGAGAGGAAAGTGCGCAGTTAATATTTACATATTCATCCAAACGCCGCTCAGCAGCTTCAGGTTCGGCTGCGTTTGATCTGATCTGAAGCGCTGCGTCTTCTTCTCTTGAACTGCATGCAGGAGCGCTGAATTACAGTCTTGCGCTACAGCGCCACACTGGTCAAACCGCATTACTGCAGGCTCTTACATTAGCTTATATGAGACCAAACTACTACTCGACAACAAAAATATTTGTAGACAAAAACTAAAAAATCATTCCCATTTGATCTAATAGCAAAAGAAAATCCATGATTGTGTTTTTTGACCTTAAAAATGTTGGTCAGAAGACAGAAAGATTGCTGTCAACGCAGCAGCATTAACCACCAAGATAATAAAACTTATAATTAAGCATAGTCTTATAAAATGTACATTAAATTACATTTTGATTTAAAAATTAAAACATAAAAAAACGTTGCTAGATTCACAATGGTAATAACTCTGAAACCAACCTATCATAGTTTGTGAAGAGTTTATTCCT